AAGAGGAGTGTTCAGTTCTGTTAAGGAGAGTTGTTCTATCATGCTTTTACGGTGAAGACTTCTGGACATAATTCTGAAAAACTATAAATATGCAGTTTCTAATGTGTGTTTTGAATGACAGTAATTATTTCAAATAAACATTTTTTAGATGCCAGAATAGAAGAATTTGTGTATGAAAAGCTGGACCGCAAAGCACCAAGCCGCATGAATAATCCGGAATTACTAGGCCAGTATATGATTGATGCTGGGAATGAATTTGGCCCCGGAACAGCCTATGGTAGGTAGAAGCAAACAAATATGTCTTGTGTTGCAGAAATGAAGGGAGGAAAAATCCACAGATCGAGTTTTTCTTTACAGTGTAAAATGATATTTCTTGTCTTTCTCTAGATAATGGTTCAAGGATTTTTGTACTAGTTTGAGGTGACTTGCTGTGTATCTTTGAGTATTAGAAGATCAATGATGAGGTTTCTATCCAAATCTAGAAATAGAATCTGCTGTTGGAATGATAACCATCTTTGTGGATGCGTAATTCTCTTACCAGATCAGATCATTCTGAAACTTATTTTCCTTGTATCAGGAACACATCTGACAACATTTATGCATTTTACTTGTGGTATGGAGTGAAAATGTTATGTGAAATTAACTTCTTCAGTAAAAAGCCTCTTTGACTTTACAGCATTACTGCTTTTCTTAATATACAATATTTTGCTAAAGATGAGAGTGTAGAACATAATCTAACTTGCTTTCTTCTCCAGCAAATTTATATACCTTTGACAGGAGGATTGGGGGTCTTACAGCTAATATTTTTACACTGGCCTTAATTAGAAGTCTAATTCTAGTGTTTTCTACAGCTCTTAAAGTTGCTGATAAGAGATCTAGCTGATAATTTAAGGATCTGAAATGCATAGCTGCCTATAATAGTCTGCAGTCAAGGTGTGATAGGAGGGAAAACTTTCATTCTGGGAAGAATGACTCCTTTCTATCTGGAAATAATGGTGTTCCTTCTCAAAACAAGAAGAGGCACTTAACAAAGTAAATGGTTTATAGAAGACTTAATGGATACAAAATCAGTAGTGACAGGGTATGTTTCTCTTACTTCCACATGGTTTATGCTGCTATCTGTGGCCTTCCTTCTGATCCCCAGCCTGAAGTCTTGCTTTTTAATATCACAGGGCTGTACTTCCAGGCACTCTGTCCGTTAGCTTGCAGAATTTTTAGAATTCAGGCAAATAACATGATCTGTGAGCATAAAGATAGATACACTGTGAGCTTTCGTGTGGTGTCACAAAGTATTTTAGCTCTCTGAAAACTTAGCATCTTTTCTAACTCTGCCATATCTGCCTGTTGAAACACTATTCTTGATACACTAACTTCAGTTTCAATACCTGAGTCACAGCCTAGTGTCTAAGTATTGTTCAGTTGATGCACAAATGCATATTTAGAAGGTAGAGTAGATGGGTATAGGAAAAGGCACATTTTTTTTTCCAGTATCTAAGTGAGCTTTTCCTTGCTGCCAGCTATTCCTGACTTAAAACAAAAATGTGGTGTAAGGGGAGGAGGTTGTTGGCTTAAAATAGTTAGGTGTGATACCTAGTTCTTAAGTAAGTGTTCACAGTGGAGTTGTCATAGTTAGTGGCACTCCTACAATGCTGCATCTGTTCTCACTGAAATCTTGTTTTGACCTGTGATTGTTGTTAATAAAAATGGTTTAGTTTAGTGCATGGGTTTGTTTGGTTTGGGTGGTTGTTTGTTTTGGTGTGTGTGGGATTTTTGTTTGGGTTTGGTTTCGTTTGTTTCAGTTTTTCTTGTAGCTCATTCAGATTTCTTTTGAAAGCCTTTGTGATGGCATTGGATTATCCTTTAAACTGCTGGCCTAAACCTTCCTGCCTGTAGAAACCTGTTTTGGTTTTGTTAACCACCTGCCTGACTCGCTCTGAAACTTAACTTTCTTTTTTTCTTTGCAGGAAATGCACTCATTAAATGTGGAGAAACACAGAAGCGAATTGGGACAGCAGACAGAGAACTCATTCAAACTTCTGCTATAAATTTTCTCACTCCTCTAAGAAACTTTATTGAAGGAGACTACAAAACTATTACTGTAAGTTAAATTATCCATTCTTAAGCATTTCACACCAATTGTAACTCTAGATCTTCAAAATGAAGTAGACGACAGTAGGGCACTATTGCTTTCCTCAAACTAATGCAGAAAAACTCGGGTAGAATTAGTGCCCTTGGTGTATTTGCCTCCCTTTTGATCAGGTAAAATCCAAATAATTCTGTAAACTTTCTTTTTATAACTATTGTTCTGTTAAATGTATGTATCTTCAGTATAAAATGCGAGAATAATTAGGATCTTATTTTGCTGCTTCAACTGAAGAACCTTTTGTATGTGATCAGTAAAAAGACTTCCAAGTAGACAGGCTTTTGCTTTTGAGTACATGTACCTGTTCTCACAAAATAACTTCTCTCGCTTTCAGAAAGAACGTAAGCTATTACAAAATAAAAGACTAGATTTGGATGCAGCAAAAACCAGATTGAAGAAGGCAAAAGTTGCAGAAGCTCGAGCTGCAGTAAGTAGAGTTTGCTTGTTTGTTTGGGTTTTTTTAACTTACTGATCTGTATTTATAAAGTTGACTGGTTATGTTTCCAGCCCTGCTATTCTTCTGGGTACTTGGTAAGAAATGCCTCAGTAGAACACAAAGTAACAAAAGCAAATTACTGATTAAGGTGTTAGTCTTCTATTTTTAGATATGCCATCTAGTTGAACTTACTTGACACAAGTAAATATTCTTGCCTTGTTCTATACTAGATGAGCCTATACTGGCACTTGCTACAGTCTGCCAAGATGGTTGTAAATACAAATCATTCAGAGGTCAAGTTTTGGCATTTGAATCTCCAGAGGTGTTCAAGCATATGTATAATTATTTCCAACTGATGAACCTATCTATACTTAACTTCTCTATATCAAACATATTTGTAGTTTACTTTTACTGTTTCACACCACCAAACAGTGCAAGACTCTTAACCTCACATCTCTTTTCTTATTCCTTCACAAAATGCTTGTTCAAGGAGATTAAAATTACTACAAACTTAGAAGCTCTTGCTTTATAAACTCTTAAAATGCCTCTAAATGAAGGAATAGATAATCAAATGTATGCAACTTCAGCTTACAGTATTTTCAGAGCTATCTTTTGACTGCATCGCTAAAAGTACAGCAGTTAATGGTGGATCATGAAGTGATTTTTCCCATGAGGGTTAATGCACAGAGGTGCTGAAGGAGTATGGATGATTTACATACACAGGGACAGTGTATAAGAGGCAGAAGCAGGACTGTCAGATTTTGTTGGCTTCTCCACTTGGATCACTGTCCTGAAAGATCTTGGAAGACTCACCTCAGCTTTGTAGATGAAGCACCTCCCACCTTTGGGATGGTGATCCTTCTAAAGAGAAAAATATGATCTCTACCTGTGTTGTAGTCCTCTGTGTCAGGTACACTGTCCCTCTGTATTTAAACTGTGGTTAAGTCCATGCATGCGTTTGCCCTTATGTTATGTAAATTTTATGCAAAAAAGTTACTTCTCTACTTGTTAAGCTTTCTTAATTTGTAAGACTAGCAATGGAGAGCAGAGCAGGGTTTTGGTCTGCTAGCAGTGGGATTTGGAAGCAATGTATAGAGAAGCAGTGGATAGTGAACTTACTCCTTTGCTTGGCTTTGTTCAAAGTTTAAAAAAGAAAAAGGTATTTTCATTATTAACTTCCTTTTGTGGTCTGGCGGCAGGTATATGCCTTACTTTCTAAAGCAATAGAAAGACCATAGGGAAATAGTTCCCCTTGGGCTCAGTATGAAAAGAAAGTCTCTATACTTGAGTTTTTCATTCCATAACCAGTGTAATCATCCAGAGCTTGGTGCTTGGACAGAACTATTGCCAGTTGCTGCTACTACTTGAGAAGCCTTAAATATTCATATAGCAGGTAATTCACAGGTTTATGCACAAATGAATTAGCGCTGGTAGAACATGGAACTCTAGGCCTCTTCCTTCACTACCTTACATGTACTTCAATTTTATTTACATTATAACAGCAGTATGCATGTTTAAGAAGTATTGGATTGTAGAATTTCCAGAGAAGTGAAGAAATCGCATCTCCATCCTCTGCAATGTAGAGATGAAAACTAACTTGGATATAGATGTGGTGCAAATGTTTCATCTGCTGCTGGCTTGCTCCCTTATGAAGATACCTGAAAGTCAGTGCTGAGCTGATAGATTAGCAAAGTGTATGAGTTATGATGCAAACTTTTATGTCTTACTGCTTAAGCAGGATGAAGTGATAAATTTCATCTACATTTATTTTTTCCCCTGTTATAAAGATATTTAATATTTGATGAAATTACATTCTCACATGCTTACTGTACAACTGAAGTAGCTTAGCTCAGTATTTAAAATAGAAATCTGAAGAGTTTTATCTCTATTCAGTTCACAGTCTTGCTTAGCTCAAACTTGCAGCACTTTGTGCCAGTAATCTGTTCACCTGCTGTATTCACAGTGTTTTAACTTGCTTTTGTCTTTTATCTATGCACTTAAGCAACTAAACACCTCTCAGCCCGAAGAGAATAACATTATGGTAAATGTCTCTTACGTGCTCAACTTGCTGCATGTAAAATGGCTAAAGGTTTGTTGGCCTCCTGTGTTCATTCATTTTCCTATCAAATGTTTCCTCTTGCTACCCAGCTCATTTTGGTCTTGTTTCAGATGTTTTCTATTCCAAACTGAATTGGTATAGTGTACTAAGCACACTTCTGTCAGTACAGCATCAGATGTTGGTTTTATCAGACTATTTCTGATAATTAAGTATACAGTATTATATTCTAATTTTGATGAGGTTATGAATGTAAACTTAGGATGCAAAGGAGTTGATATTTTTTTCACTTCTGAAATTAATTTCTCCCATTCAAGGGAAAGGAATTACTTCACTTTCCTGATTTTGGTTTTAATATGAGTAAGAGTGAATTATCTGAAATTGCCAGGAATACGTAGAAATTACTCCCTTTAAGTAATGCTTTACAAATTACAAATTGTCATACAAATTAATGGCTTAACTTAGAGTACAGTATATCCTAAATGTGTTGTAGGGACTCATTAGTTTATCTGGTTTCAGCACCATAATTGTGGAAGTGGAAAAGGGGTTAATAAATCAGGTACAACATGGACTGTGCTGTTCAGCCTGACTTGGTTTTGGTCTTGGACCTGCACAGTATAGTGGGTTTCATCTCAGTTAATGTTCCAGGTTTCTCAGTTGTAAGTAGATAAAAGAGCAAATAAACTTGTTTGTTACAAGTTGCTTCTGCAATCTTTATACACATTTCTTCCTACCAAAGTCCCAGTTGTGTCATCTGCTTACAACTGCAGAAAATGAAGGTTAAAGGAGAGCTGCATTGCAAAAGGGAATTGGAACAGCAAGTTGAAGTAATTAACTTCTAGAGTAAATTTCTTGCAGCTCTACAATTTTGCTGTACTACTTGCCATTACTTTAATACTTGGTTTGAAATACCTCTGTAGCATTTTTAATTGAATTTAGGTTTCAGTAAAAATGCTTGTGCAATAGGAAACCAGTAATGAAATTAGCAAGAGAAATCATTCATCTCTTTCATTCTTTATTTAACGTGATACTAAAATGAGAATAGCTTTCCATAGTTTTCCAGTATTTTAACATATTAAGGTAACTTAAATTCCTTCATAAGGTAATGCAGTTTGTGTGACCCATCTCATTTTCTAAGTAATGTCTTGTGTTCTTGTGTTGTAGTAGCTTGTTTTAAATAGACTCCCTTAACATGTAAGTTCTACAAGTCATACATACACTCTTCAGTATCTAACTTACTTCACAGATGTAGTGCTATCCATACTCATTGTAGTTTAATTGTATATGAAGCACTTTGGGCAACTGACTTATGCCTACTTAAATCCCTGTGAAGTTCTGAGGGCAGGAAAGTGGTCAAAAGCCAAAATATAGTTGCATCCTGTATTAAAGCACCACCAATGTCTAAGTTTGTGTTTTTATTCTCCTCCTCCCCCCCCCGCCCCCAATGCTGACTAGATATGGGCTGAGGAAGTGACGAAAGTAAGTAAACAATTTAGAAGTTGCAGAATTCTGAAACCATAACTTGTGCGGGTCTAATGTAATAAGGGATATTGCATGTTGTTGATTCACTCTAATGTTGGCAGCCTTATGCATTACATTAGAATACACTGGTTTCCTCTAGGGCCTTTCAAACTCCAGTGGTGAAACAATGCCTGGGGCTTGTTTCATAGTAAGCTGTTTCTGGCTAACTATCACTTAGTACCATGAGATTCTCATGACAAGACACGAAAGAAAAAGAGCTACAGGACATCTCCAAATGTACGGGTATGGCATCTTGTTAAAAAGCACCTCTTAAAAATGAGCTTATTTGAAAATATTCAGAAAGGCTGGGGTCTACTCTAAACTGTCCTCAAAAAACACTGATGTTCAACTCTTACCCAGAACATAAAGTAGTAACTAAAACGCTTGAGTGCATGTAAGAAACTTGGAAAACTCAGTTGTGGAGGTTGGTGGGTTTGGTTATTGTTCCCTACCTTTTTCCCCAGTGTTGTTAGAGAGTGCTGTGCTTAAGCAAGTGAAAATTGCCCCTGGGCTGAAGGCTCACAAATACAGCGTTAGACTGGGGAATAGAGGCTGAAGCCTTCTCTCTTGTCATGCCATCCCTTGCACAGGGACGCACTCAGTGGAGCTAATGGAGCACTGGGCGATAGCTCCTCCAGTGCTACAAGAAGGACTGTCCTCAGGTGCACTGGCTTAGACAGAGCAGTGTTGGGAACAGGCTGTAGGAAGCTGTGCTAACAGTTGAGAAAAAAATTCTTAGGGAATTTCTGCAGAGGGTGGGAAATAAAAACAAAGGCTAGTGATACAAAGTAAGTGTAGTTGTGGGGCAAGGGCTTTGGAGAATGGTTTTGAAAGGGGGACTAGCAGGCAGCTGTGGGAGAGGCATTAAAGAGTTGCTGTCAGGAGCTGGGATATGGAGCTTTGGGTGAAATCTTGGGGGGTAGTGAGATGAAATAAATGAAGGCTTTTTTCTACTGCAATTTTATGGTGTAAACATAGGGTGTATGTGTAGGGTGTGAGAGTTTAGGGGGAAGCAGGAGTTTAGAGATTGGAACTGTAAGAGGAGGGTTAGGTCAACTTTGATCCCAAAGTTTGAGAACTATTTTACTGTTCAAGTGAAGTAAAAATCTGGAAGCAGCAAATGTGTCTGCCAGAGTCCTTGGTACTGTTCTGGGAAAAAGATGGCAGGGGAGCAGTACTGCTGTAACAAAAACTGATCTTGATGCTATGAAATGATGAATAAAACTATTTGCTTTTCAGAGACAAACAACAAACTCTGAAAACCTAATTAGTTTGTAAGTTGATCCATACACTGCTATATCAGTTTTAAGTAAGAAACGCACAGCTACTTCCTCACTGTTTTAATTAATGTGAAAGCCTTCCCAGCTGCAGTCACCTCAGATGAAAAACATTTTGTGGGTAACTGCATTGTTCTTCTGTGCTCGTTGCTGTGGTTAAGATCCTTCCATGTTGACTCTTCATATTGATTAGCATTAGTGGAATGCAAGAGGAGAATGTTTGCAAACACACAGAAACTTTTGAAACCATTGTTTTGTTGGTGTCACCTTATGAATTCTCCTGAAAATAGATTTCCTTACGCTGTTTTGCTGAGAACAGTAACTGCTCCATCTTGAACTTAATGCGAACTTTTGCCTTTGCGTTTGTTTTTAGAAACAAGGTACTAAGTGCATATAAGCATTGAGGCAAGGGAATCCAGATTCCAGGGTAAAGATATTCTGTCTTGGAACAGTAAATCTTAGATATTTCAACACATTTATGTATTTGTGGGGTTTGAGTACTGTCCTTTTCCTTTCCCTCCCTACCCCAAAATACTCTAAAGTAATTTCTGCTTGTGCTAAATGAAAGTCTTTTAAAACTGCTATAACGGTCTTATTTAAAAATTGCTGAGAATGATGTGCAACAAGGAAGGAATTTGAATTTGAGTTATTTAAATTTGAAATTTAAAGCCAATCATTTTTAATAGAAATTTTACACTAATTGAAGTTAGAACATCTGCTATAGTTTGGATTTGTTTAAAGATACCTCAATTACAAGCTCCAGAAATAGTTATAGTAGCCTGTTGCCTGTATAAGACATTAATTTATGAACGATCCTGTTAAAACTTACCATGGAAGAATTATGTATGGCTGATTGCTGTGTGGTTACAAGACAAAGACAATGTGAGCTTTACCCTAAATTACTTGGTCAGAGCCCTGGTGCAGACGCTGTTATGCCAGTGAACTCTTGGTTTGTGATTGGGAGAGGTGGGGTAATACTGCAGGCAGAAAAATGCCTTCCTTTTGCACACACAACTCCATGAGGTAGGTGTCTGATAAAGCTGTTCCTTTGGTATACAGGGCCTCAACATTTCTGAGCCCTAAGTGCAGTTATTCTTTTTTCCTAGATTGGCAAATTAAAGCACATTTCAAACACCTAAGCTTGTGATGAATGCATTTGTATGAGTAGCTCTGAATAAAATGGAACTGGTTTAGTCAGAAGGTATTAAGAGAGTGCATTGTACAAATAGCTAATGTTCATCCTTACTTTTAGTCTGAACAGGAAGTGCGGATTACTCAGAGTGAATTTGATCGTCAAGCAGAGATTACCAGACTTCTGCTGGAAGGAATCAGCAGCACACATGTGAGTACCCAGAAGAGGTAGAAGGGAAAAGTCAAAATCGGGGCAGTTCCTAAAAATAACTACATTGAGCTATCTGGGAACTTTGGGCTACAAGGTTTCACTTCAGTGCGTTAAAGCATCAAACTCTTTTATTTATTGAATTCTAGTTTAATATCTACTGAATCAGTCTTCTGTTAACCTTGAAAATGCAGGAGTTTTCATTCTTGTTCTTTAAACTCACCTTCCCATTCATCAGATTAACTGAATGTTGAAACTGCAAAAGCATCCTGAAATATTTATTCTGTTGTGGAAACAACATGGGTGACTGGCAAGATGCTTGTACAGCACCTGTTTTTTGTGCTCAAATGTTGATTTTTGTGTCATTTTACCCTAGTTACCTGGTAAATCCAGGCACTCTGCCTACAGGGCATAAATCCCTATGTGCGTTAGCACCTGGTTAGGAGATTGGTCATTCTAATGCAGCATAGGGACTGTAGTGATAGGACAAGGGGTGATGGGTTCAAACTTGAACAGGGGAAGTTCAGGTTAGATCTAAGTCAGAAGTTATTCCCCGTGAGGGTGCTGAGGTGCTGGCACAGGGTTCCCAGAGACGTGGTAGATGCGCCATCCCTGGCAGTGTTCAAGGCCAGGCTGGACAGAGCCTTGGGTGACATGGTCTAGTGTGAGGTTTCCCTGCCCATGGCAGGGGGTTAGAACTGGATGATTTTAAGGTCCTTTCCGACTGCAACCGTTCTATGATTCTACAGTACTTCTACAGACTAAAAACTTGATTTTTTTGCTGTATTATAGGCACATCATCTTCGCTGTCTGAATGATTTTGTTGAAGCTCAGATGACCTATTATGCACAATGTTACCAATATATGTTGGATCTCCAGAAACAACTTGGAAGGTAGTAATACTGTAAAAACTTCAGGAAACACCCCCCCCTTTTTTTTTTTTTTTTTCTTCCCCCTAAGTGCTTATGAATAGTAGGAAACTGATGTAGGAGTGGTGAACACAGAACTGAATAGACTGAAAGGAAATATATCTCTTCTCAGGTATTTAATATGTAATTACCCCAGTGCAAACTACATCCCTAAGCCTCCACACAGCACTCGTGCCTTTTGAGGGTTAGTTTACTGAGATTTTGTGTGTTTTCTAATTGAGGAAGGTGAGCCCATGGTAACCTCATTTAATGGCAGAAAAAGGAATTCCTGGAGATATACTTGTAATCATTCATTTGTCTTCGGCTTGATGCTATGCAGTGTGGGATAAGTTTTTTTTTGTACACTCTGTAAATTCATTTTGCCACTTAATTTGCTACAGGGCACTACCTGGTTTTCAGTGAAACTGCATTCTCCACTGTTAAATGAATTACCAGCATAGATACTGTATCTAGGTAGAAGTGTACTCCACAATATCTATAATGAATAATCCAGAGCACTTGCAATGGAATGAGAAAGTTTGTCTAGTTCTACTTTTCTGTGGGTTTAGCATTTTAAAGTAAGAGAAAAAGCTGTCTGAAGTTAGCTTGTGCTCCTGGCGATGTAAAGATACCTGCATATGTACTTTTCATGAAGTTTCATTTTTCTAGTTCTTTTTCACAAATCAGCCTTTCTTAGGGTTATACCATATTATGTAGGTGAGCATATGCATTGAAGGACTGCCTGTACTTAGAAGTATGTATTCTAAATAACTGTCTCTATAAAGTATCTCTGTTTATGCTTTTCATGATAAGGAAGCAAAACCAAAAGTGTTTGAGTCTTGTCCTTTTCCTGACTTGCAGCTTCCTGTGGCATTTGATTTCCTTTCCTCAGTTTGTTTGAATGGGTACTTTAAAGTCTTTAAAGACATAGAGCTTTTTTAAAACAAAAAATCAATTTTAAAGTTATATTCCATTAAAAGTAGTATTCAACAGTAAAATTTGGTAACTCATAAATGCATGTATTAAAGCTTGAAAATAACATTTACTGGATTAAGGATGAGCACCTTTTAGAAGTTAGGTATATTTACACAACTATTTTGAGAGGATGTTTCCAAGATCTGTACTCTTACCTGTATCAATTTACTAAGCTGAAAGCTTTAAGCATAATACCCTTAGCTTAAGGAAGAACATACTTCTTTTCAAAGTCTCTTGCTTTAGCATGTCCAGAACAGCTATCTTTGTTTAAAATTTGTGTAAAGTGCTACCAGGTATAAAAGAATATATTTGAGCAAAGTACTGCCTTAAGGAAACCAGAAGGATGTTTCTTTACGTGGCTGTGATCTGATGAGGGGTTTTGATAAAACTGCTAGGAATGCTAGACAACTAAAAGCATGGAAGCTTTGCAAAATCTTTGGTGCTTCAAACAGCCCCATGAAGTCTCTCTGCCTATTAAAACAGTAATGGTATTAAATCTTGGGTGTGTCTTTCCTTCCTTGTGCAAGGAAGTCCTGCTGACCTGTAGCAGC